TTGTGGAAATAGTTCCCCATCTTTTTCAAACATCACCTCCCACACATTAGTAAATAACTAATATTATTTATTATTTCTTGTTACTTTATGCTATTAATAATAATTGCTGATTGATAATGATAGCTATTATTTATTATTGTTGAGGTAGCACCTGGAAACTTTGGGGCTGCTCTGGCCTACATCATGCCAGAAGTTATGCAAATATTCTGGAGAACTCCAGTCTTGACTTCCTTTTCCCTGCCTTTCAAGTTGTCCTGGGCTTGTTATCCATTCCTGATGTGCTGACAGCTGTAGAGAGCACAATGAGTCAGTTCCCTACTTGAGATGAACCACTGGTCAATTAAACTTTTACTGAAAATCTCTGGGCCTAAAAAAGGAAATGTTTATGAGCTAATGTTAAGAGTGCTAGGGCTAAAGGGGAATAAAAGCCCTTCACAGTTGTAACGGGGGAAAATGAGAACCCAATCTCAATAATAAACAAAGAGGAGGATGTAATTAATAAATGCCTCTAAACCTGCCAGAATATGGAATTCCTTTCTAAATATGTCATTAGGAAGAGAAATAAAGGGAAAAAAATTAAACTGATAAGGATAGGCTTGGAAACCTTGAGATTATACAAAATGTAGTAGCTGGCTGACATTTATCCTGATTGTTAAAGGCGTTTAGCTAAAGAGTTAAGGAATCACTGTTGAGCAAGTGGAAGTGTGGCCATAAGATATAAAAGCAAATGTTTCTAGTTTGCTTTTATATGGCAGATGTTGTCTGCTGTGCCTATCATGGTGCAAATATAGCAGAGGGATATGGCCCCTGGTCAGAGGGAAGCACACCAGTGGATCTGGTCTGTGACACCATCCCAGGGAGAAATTGTAACATGCAGAGAAAAAATAAACATTTCTGGATTTTCCAGGATTTGGGGAATAAAAAGTTCTGCTACAAAACAACCATACTTACCAGATTAGTAGTGGAGAAAAATGGTACACAGTAAAAAAATATATTATGGTTTAACACTATTTCTAACTACTGGTAGGTCAATCACTTCACAACTTTTTCATGTCTTGGACCTCACACTCATTTAGGGTGCCCCTTTTATCATGGGCCCCAAAAGCTCTCCCTTTTATCTTCCTGAGATGCCACCCAGGAGGGGCGTGGAAGAACCCACCAGCCCCAGACTGAGTAGCACTCTCTCCTGAACTTCATTTGCCTGTGTGCCTTGATGAATCCAGGCTCTGACCAAGAGAGAGCACATCTGAGAAACCTGACATGGGCAGCAGAAGCAAAACCTGGCATTAGGGAAGGCTTGATGAAAGCGAGGAGAAGCAGCTCACACTGGATGTGGCACAGATGGAGGAGTCTGAGGAGAGCTATTTGGGGAGGAAAAGACTTGATCAAAGATACACTCAGGATTAATGTCAGTGGGATGGGATGGCTTTTGTCAAGATTAGAGGAAAAGAGGTTCCCACACAAGGATTTGGTGGTTCAGATGGGTTGGAAAGGGCATGCTGCAGAGGCAGTGTGTGTAAGGCAAGGAGCCAGAACTGAACATGAATGCTAGAAATTATCAGTCTCCCCACTAGTTAACATATTTAAACCCAATTGTTATTTTTCCCTTCAAAATGAAAGCTCTTTTTCAATCATGAATTATCAATCTGTCATAGAGATCTGCAGTAAGATTGCAGCATTGTAGAAGTTGACCACTTGTCTGCAAGTTTATGCATTTGCTGAAGGTCATTGCTTTGCCTTAGGTTTCCCTGGGTTTTTTCCTCACTTAATTATCACTGGGAGAAGAATCAGCCCCAGAACTGTCTAGTCCAGCTTTTTCCAAGTACACAACACAAGTGACACTATTTTGGCAACTTATCTGTGATTTTTTTTAGCTGTTCTTTTTCTAGACTTTAATATGCGTTTCAAATCTTCACAGCGAAAAATAAAAAGTAAATAAAGAGACAATTCAGATGGGTAATACAGGCCTTAACAGAAGATGGAGAAGAGAAACAGTAACAGAAAAACCTAAACAAATAGTCAAACTCCTAATAAATTATGTCCAATCACCAGACAACTGTAGCAGAGAAGCCAAATTAGCTGCCTGATGCTGATGGTCTAGATAAAAAACTATAACAAATCTGGACCAAAGAGAAGCTCTCAGCAGTTTGCCTTCTAGCCAAGGCAAAAATAACATGTAATCATTTAATACCATTTCTTCAAATAAACTTCATTTTGAGATAATAATTTCCAGATGGATGAAGGTTTATAAACATCTCTGCCACATGATACATTACCACTGGGCAACAGAAAGGTTAAGAGAGGGATTTAGTCACTGGGTCTATACCAGTAAATTAAATGTGCCCAGTGCTGATCTCCTGAGGCCAAACAGCAAAGGAGGGTTGTGTCCATATTGTTGTCCCTTCTTGCTATCTGAAACTAAATGACTTCTTCCAAACTGCCTGTTTGGAGCTGTCGACTTGTGCTGCCTTCTGAGCTGTGCCTGGAAGGTGTGCATAGAACAGTCTGATTGTCCAGACCTGAATGGTGCCAAGAGCATCCTAAAAATTAAACCATCTGGAGAAGAGAGCTCTCATGTCTGGAAAGAATGCCAGGCGCTTTTTTATTTTCCTGTATGGACACAGGTGAAAAGAAACTGCAGAAAACACCACAAGTCTTTCTGCATCAACCAATATTGACACTGTTTTGGAAGCTCATCTAAAGTTGTAGGATTGGATTATCATGTCCAGCTTTGAAAACATGGAATCCCACACAAAAGATCAGTCACAAGTGGTCATACTCAAAAATAAGGTGAGAACCTGTTCAAGATGTCCATATAGTTTGTCAACTAATGTCTCAGCACCATTTCTTTGATGAAATGCTAGCCTTGATCTCCTTGGAGCCAAAGCTGCTAATCAGGCTGTCAGTGTTACACATGTGTTTGATTGTTTTGTTGGAGTGGGGCCCTGCAGGATCAGCACCAGGAATGTGAGGGAAACAATGGAACTTCACACTTAGCATGGAGAACTCTGATTGTTATTAATTATTTTTCATTTTCCTGGTTAACATTAAGAGACAGGGCTCAAATCCAGGCAGAAATTAGCCACAGTTATTAGTGTCTCAAATTTTTGTCTTGTAGGCTTCAAGCTGGTTAAAACAACAGAAAGAAAAAAAGCTGCGTATGTTTCAGATGAAGGCCCCTGAGATACATGGGATTTTAAATAAATTACTTGGATTGGATACAGCACTAATTATTTCCCTTTTAAAACCTCAGATTTTTTTTCCCCCTCTGCTTACAGGGGATTGTTAGTTTTGAGTTTTTCCTCAGTTTTATCCATACCTTCTACCATGACAATACCTCCATAGATCCCATAGCTAAATGAACCATGGAGACCGTTGGATTTCATCAAGAGATTGATGGAAAATTGGCATGTGTCTAACTCATCCTGCTTCATTTTTCACCTGGTGGGTTGGAAGAAGAGTCCTCATCTTCTGTGACCTCACACCTTGGACAAATCGACTGCTGTGGAGCCAAGGCCAGAGGTGCCCGAGCTCTTAAGCTTCTCTTCTCATCAGCAGTCCCTGCATTCCTTGGGTGTCTACATGTTGCTGCATTCTCTGCAGCTCATTTGCCAGGCTCCTTTTAGCCTTTCAAATCAGGAGCTGTGGACTCATGTAACTCCAGAATTTCCCAGTCCTTTGGGGTTTCATGTTTATGTGGCTTTGGAAAAGTCCCTTAATGGTGAAGGTGTTTCACGGACTCTTCTGCACTCTTCCACATGAAAGTATGAAACTCAGCATATTTTGAAATGTTTATTGGAAGAGCAGATAGGCTTTGGGATTATATTTTTGACTTCATGAACAAGGATAAAAGGTAGATCTTGAAATTAAAGGTTAGTAGTGGATTACATTCCTGAATGTTCAGATGAGATGGTGGTACTCAATGTCATTCTTCTTGATTCTGAGCCACAGAGACTCATCAGAAGAGGGCATCACTGCAGAAACTTACTGAAAGATCAGAAACTCGTCATAATATATGTTATTTAAGTGGAAAACAAGAAAACATCCAGGAAAGGATCCAATTATGGTTAAAGGCCCTGCACAGTCTAAAGGACTATGAGGTTATTGAATATAATATTTTTTGGGCAAGACTGAAAGGCAAGACTAATCAAACCAGTCCCAACTGTTAGCAGAAGAACTGAATGCTCTTGATGATTTGGCATGTGAATCATGAATATTACTTTCCTGCTGCCAAGTTTGGGATAGGTCTACAGCACCATTTAAACCAGACAAGTACCTGAAATAAGGTTTCTCTTGGTGGGCAGTGTCCTGCAGAGCTTCTTGCTTCATGTTTTATTTTTTTCACCAGTGAACAACTAAGACCCAGAAGTGACCTTTCTAGTTGAAAAAAAAGGACTCAACAGTTTGTGCAAGAAAGTTTCAACACAGAAATTCGTGCTTCTCCTGCCCGCCGAGTCAAGCGTATTGCAGAACAGAGCTTGTTGTGCTGTCACAGCAGTGGTGGAAAAGGGAGGGTTAATATCTGCAGGACTGCTGTGACCTCAGGAGAGCCTGAGAGCAGGGAACAGGCAGCTTTGTTTTGTTTTCATTGGAAATGGGGAGAGTCGATTTTGTCTTGACACTCACCATGCTACCAAAGGGCTCAGAAATTTTCCAGCCAAACTTCATTGGAGACCAAGGGGGAAAAAAAGTTTGGTCAACCAATGTGTGAAATTTGCAACAGTGATGGAAGCCGTGCCTGGTAAAGGCAGCACAGCCGGGTCATGCTTTGAGACTGATTTTTATGGCTGTCAGCTAATCTGTCTGTGGGCAAATCTAGCTCATGTTACCAGCAGTAGGATGAAAGAATGGCCCATAATTGGAAGCAGACTATGGCCCATTGTTGGGAATTAGGATTTTTCCTGTTGTTTTCTTCCCTCACGGAATTTTGTCAGCACATGTTGCTAGGAGACAATAACTTCCAAGTTAAGAAAACAGAGACATAGCTGGGTGTCCCAACATTCCATTGAAATGGCCCTGGCTGGGGGCAGGTTGCAAGTAATAACAGGAGAGAAGAGGCTATCCCAGAGGTTTGGGGCTGGGTTTTTGGTCAGTCCAGTCTCCTCTTCAGAGAAGAAAGGAACTGTTTGCTATTTTCCCTGCCACCCATTGATCAGGCAGGGCTTTTGGCTGAGCTTTGAGGTGCACTAGGGGACAAGTTTGGAGCACGCCTCATATCAAAGTCATTTAAGGTACAGGAGTGACACATTGTCCAACCACCCTTATATACCTTTGGGCATCGTGTGGTTGATGCTGAGCAGTGAGTTGGCCAGGAGGTCCTTGGAAGGTTCATGGTCCTAGGACTCTAGAGATTGTTTAACACTACACATTTGGTAAAGTTTATGATTTAGGAAGAGTACTTCAGTCTGGGTACACTGGTGTGGCCATGCCTCAAAGGTGCATAGACATGGTGGTAAAAGAGCACGCTGTACAGGTCAGCCTGTGCTTTGCCATCAGGATCACAGGTCACAGCCACTGACACCACCTCTCTGTGTGACCCTGGACGACCCTGCTCAACTTCTTTATCTGTCAGACAAGGACAATAATGACTGGCTGCCTCACAAGTGAAGTTTACAGCTTCACCTCACAGCTATTGTCCCAGCACAGTGTTACGGGGTGGTTGGGTTCATTGAAGACCTGATGGAATTCGTGTTTTCCCTTTGCAAGAGTAGATGGGGCATCACCCCAGGTGTCCCAGCAATTTTTTCGTTTTGCTTTCTGCTGTTGTGATGAAAGCATGCATATCAGCCCTAGAAAATGCATGCTAAGCAAGAAAGAGAAGAGTGCTGGGAAAGGTCTTATTTTCTGCAAAATTAGATTTGCTGAGTTTACAAGGTGCTGAAGGCTATTAATACTGTATGCTCTGGTACCATAAGACTGCAAACAAAGCTTCTATATGCCTTTCTACAGCTCCATGTATCAGCATTCACCCTTTTCCCTTCTAGTTTTTTCCACCTTTTTGCCCCCATTTTTCCCCCTTTTATCTCATTCCTTTGCTTTGTCTCCTGGATTTATTCCCATTCTCTAGATTGTCTTACTAATTTTACTCTCTTTTCAAAGGAAAAAAACCCAGTCTTGTGGGCTAAAGACTTTACAACATTCTCTCATAGTCCTGGATTTAAAATGCCTCACTGGGGATCTATAATGTACTGACATGGAAAGACTAGACTTATTATTAAGCTAATAATCTAGGAATTTTTATGAACTTCAGAGCTCTGAAAAGTTTTCTAACCACATAGCATGGATTGTTGAGGCATTAGCAGCCACTGGCAAAAACCTACTGTGGCTGGACACACCAGCTTTGTAAACATCTGGAGCATGGCTACAGAGGGGAATGATCCAAGGAGCTGGGTGGAGAGAAATGGGATGCATGCAACAGCAGCTGGTGAGATCTACCTGCTTCCTCCCAGGTTTGTACCTTGTGCAATTGGCCAGGTTAGAGCTCTCAAAGTATAAATTGTGGTATTAGAAAATATCCTAAACGAAATAAGATTGCTAGGAGTTGGGATGCAGCTGTATATTTACCTTAGTCTCTGCTTTGACCACTGCTACATACTGAGTTAGAAGGAGATCAAAACCAACGAGGCTATACTGTATTATTATGACAGACTGGTCTGGTTAAGATGCTGCTGCACCTCTTATTTTAACACCTTGTTTTTATGCTGATTACAAATAGCTTTTGGAATGTAAAAGTGTGTTCAGTGTATGGCATTAGGAAATCATCAGGAAATTAAGAAATAATGTGTGACAAATTTGGTGATCTTCTATGATTCTATCATTAGGAGATGAGGATGGTATTCAGTAATTAGCATTCATTGCTCACTTTGCTGCCCAGTCAAATGCAATCCCCCAGCTTGATGCTGCTCACTACATTCTCAAAGAGGCATGAAACACTTTTGCTCCTTGCTCCAGACACCTGGATAGCTGCACTGCTTGGTCCTAGGCAGTGTCATGCTTCCTTTATTAGGTGGCAGTACCATCATTGTCATCTGTGCATGGTTTTGCAAAGGTTTTTAATGTCCTTCAGGATAAAAGCTGACAGTAGAAAGAAGGAGACACATGTATTTGAGCTGCATTTTAAAGCTGACCATTCATAATGTGATTTATATCATTGTGCGATCTGCCATCATATGAGATACTATTTTCCACTGCAAGGCATTTGGGAGACCTCCTCTCCTTTCATTTTTCAGTTGCTTGTCAATCGTCTTATCCTTCCATTTTATTTAAATAGAAACACTGGGTTTCATTATATTTTTCCTCAGAGAGGACACACCAGGACATTCTCCATGTAACTCAGATGGTAGAAGTGATGCCTTGAGAAGCTACCTAGAGCAGAGGCTAGACAGTGTTATAGGAATAAAGTAAATATTTATTAAAAGGCCATCAAAAGATAATATACCTTGGGCAGTACAAGAGCCAGGCTGTGGCTCCACCCAAGATAGAGGGTTTGTCTCAAGTTTTCACACTTCTGTAAGTTTTGGTCCATTTGCATATTAGAGTTAATTGTCCAGTTACAGCTTCAGGTTATGAAGTCCTATTCTCACAGATTGCCCTCCTCAATTTGCTGTTTTTTATACTTTTCAGGCCTGAAGCTGCAACTGTGTCCTCGGTTCTCAGGCTGGAAAGGGATTGTTTTGTCTAACTGTGAAGAGAACTTGCTAACCCTTTATATGAAGTTCAGTTATATACTAATGCAGTACAGAATCTTGAAAATATAAAAGCTAAAACTTAAGGCATTAGAAGTACATTGGCTGCCCTGAAATCGTCCGTGGAAATACAAAAAGGAGGAAAAGTTCAGTATCCCCCTGTGCTGGATTACTAACCCAACCTGGGGATGGCTCTTTAGAGAGAGCAGAGACACAACCCATGCTGAGGATGAATTGCTGGATCCTATTATAACAGGAGGCATGGAGACATCAAAAAAATAAAATAAAAAACTTCTCCAGATAATCAACATCTGCTGCCCTTTCCAGGATACCCCCCTCCTCCAGGCAAGGAACTAAGGCTATGATTCATGCCACATCCCACACGGTTGCCCGCCCTGACCATCTGAACAGTGTACATCACATTTCCTCCTGACACGTGAGTTTCTGGCTGCTCAGCAAAGCAGGCGGATGGGGAAGATGTAACTCATCCGTGAGGAGGATGACAGACAAGGGTGTCGGGGGGAAAAGTTTATGGTGAGTCTCTGGATGAGAGACGTGGATCTTCTTTTCTGTGTCAGCCATATGTCAGGGTAATTGGAAGCAACAAGGCAGTGCTGGAAAACGCTGCCATGGATCTTAAGCCTTTGTGGGAGTCACTCCTCACAATATATGAAGTGCTTACAAGAAGTCATGACAACTCCAGTGCATGGCTGACATGTTGAGCCATTCACCTAAGCCAGTGAGGCAGGAAAAGAAGGTGAAAAGATTCATGTAGTCACAGGGAGAACAGACCCAGGGCTGTTCTACAGGAGAATAGGGTAAAAGGGGTAATAAAGTCAGTTTCTAGCTGGGGAGGCCAAAATTATTTTGTGGAATATAACACGTGCTTGCTAAGATAGCAGCAGATGGGGTTTAGGAGCTCTATCCTAGCCCTGTGTGCCTAAGGAACTCCCTACAAATGGCATGAGGAAGACAGGCACAGTCAACTCCTACTGCAGGACAGTTGTGTCTTTGTGAGGGCCCAGCAGGAGCTCCTCGAGAAGCTCAGCATCCCCATGGCTCATCTCTAGAGCTGGTGAATTTTTGGGATGCCACTCCACACATGACCTCACAGGCTGCCCCTCTTGCCCCTGAAACATGCCATGAACTGAAAGTAACTTTACCAGGCATTGGATGGCATTTTCTTTTGGAGGGTTCCTTCTCTGGAAGAAAAGTTCCTTTTCCTTCTTGAAAGTTGTGTCTCAGCTGATGTGTGGCTTTTCTATGTTTCTGTCACTAGACATTAGTCCAGCCCCCACTGCAGCCTGCACCACACCAAGAAAACTTATTAGGCCCAGACACATAGTCTTCACCTTTCAAGAGGAAAGGACCTAAGAAAAGTGGTTTTTTCTGCAAAGGAAATGTCCACTTCCTCAGTGGAGACTGAGGAACCCTAAACCCAGCCGAGGGAATCATCCCTTTCCACTCAGTTACTCTCCAAGGGCAGCCACAGGGGACCAGTGCCTGGCATTGTCTTGCCTGGCACCCAGAACAACCCAACACAAATGAGATACCATGAGACAGAAGCAGTGTGTGCTTCTGTTCATCAGTCTTAGTAAAGTTATTCTGCTGCAATTTTTTTCTGAATGCTTTTTGGTCTCACCTCAACTTTAAACCTTATTTAGAGTTTAGAGTCTGAAAATTAAATTTGACATAAATTTGTTTCTCTGCTGCAGAGGGTGAGTTTTATGCACCACCAGTTTGCTGTAGGCTTTGGGGCTGGAAGTACACTGTTTACTCCTCCCAAAGCATCCCTACTGTGCCTCTCATAAGCTTTGGATGCTGGGCACAGCAGGAGTTAGAATTAACCCAACCCAGAGGGGGATGAAAGGGAGGATTTCTCAGTGTTACATGTTCTGGCTGGGCTGTAATTCCATCCAGGAAAGTTTATGCTGTTCCAAATTTCACTGTTTGATCCCTTCTAGAGAGAGCATGAGTCTGGGGCCTTCACTGGTGACTGCCGCCAGGGCTCAGCAGGGTGGGTGGACAATGATGAATTGGTCTGAGATAAGATGTCCTACTGCAAAAGTGTTACATATCTCACTCCTGCTCCTTAAAAACCACTGCAAGAACTGGTTTTTAGCCCTTTTTGTCTTGGAATCAGTGAAAAAACTCCAACCCCCAAAACTTCAGGGGAGGGTGTAATTGTGCCAGCATGCTGGAGGGATGCTCAGCAGGTGAGTCATGCTCAGGAATTGCAGCTTCACTCTTCCTGTCCAGGACTAACTCTTGGCCACTGAAAGAAAAGGGGATTTCTTCCTGTCTGTGTTGGAGTGATTTACGATGACAGTCTATTCAATGATCCTCTGCTTTACGCCCAAAAATAAAGGCATAAAGGCCTGGGACTGGAATTGGAATTTGTAGACCCTTAGCATTTCCTCAACATTGGAAGGCAGAAAAAGGTGCTGTGGCCACTCAGTACAACTACTGGAGCACTGAGATCTTGAACACTGTGGCCCTCAAGACCATCATTGAGACCTCTGGACATGAAGGATCAGACTGTGGTTGCTCTAATTCTATAGATGGGCTCTGCCTCTTGTCCTCCACAGGTGACACAGATAGTGTGGCTGATAAACTGAGCAGTTCCTGATGGATTTTTTCCTGGAATTGCTTGCCTTTATTCCTTAGTTAAAAGGATGCTGGGCAGTCAATTTTAAAAACCCATTTGCACAGTGGTCATTCCAGAGGTCCTGCGATTTTAAGTCATGCCAATAGTGGCTAGTTAAAGAAAGAGACAACCCATCTTTCCTAGTTGGAAGTATTTTTTAATGGTGAATATCACCCATCCAGGGATTAAGTAAATTTTAATATTGCTTTTAAAACCTCACAATGTATCTGTTCTCAAGTTTATAATTTGAATGTGTCAAAAAACCAACATGGGCAGGAAAATGGGGTTGCTTTGCACTGAGGCTTGTGCAGAATTTACGGCCCATCTTCTTCATGAATGAGAGGGAGACCACATAACTTATCTGGGGTTCCCTCCTGATGTGTTTGGACTTATTTGGTTCACTTACTGTTGAGAAAGAGGGCTTAACAAAAAAAAAAATCATGCCTCAATTACAGAGAGGGATCAGCATTCAATAGCTGCTTCTGGCCAGACTGTGCTCTGCAATAATTGTCAGAGTCTAGGAAAATGAGAACAGGAAAGATGCAAACACTGGCTCTCAGCCGCTGGCCACAGTGGACAAGGCACAAAAGCCAGAATGTGCTGGGGCTTTGAATGCAGTTCTCGAGCCAAACTCCAGCTTCCTCTCTCTCCAACACACTCTGAATTCCTTCTCAATCCCCTGTGGGAGGCAGGGTCCTTTTCACAGTCCTTTCCTTTCATGCCCCTTCTTGCTCCACTTGCTTGTCAGGGTGCTTATCTGACAACAGGGACGAGTGTGTTCTTAATCAAGCCCAAATCTGCTTACTTGGATGAAAGCTATTGAGCATTACAGCACGATGAGCATGGCAAATCCTTTTTCTCAGATAATGCAAACCCATACTTCTGATTTCCCAGAAGGTGCTCAGAGAAGCTATGTGTGAAAGATAAGCAAAAAGTCGACACTGGAAGCTTGCAGAGCAATTTTTCAGACTGAGTGCAAACAATCTGGTTCACATCAGTCCTCTAGCTTATTCATTCCCCTTTCTACAACCAGATGTTCAAGGGACAGGGCAAAGGCTGGTGAGTGACTCCATCTTCCTGGCTTACAGGAGCTGCTTGTCTGTCCTGTGGCAGTGAGGGAAGTGCTATAGGTGAATGGAAAGGCAACCAGAGTAATGGTGTTTTCAGGGACCCTTTGCAGTGTCATAGAACCATCTTTGGAATACTTCATTTACTAGTACAGATGTAGTTTATAAATCTACTTGTATTCTGTAATTGAATAAACCAACATCTCCTGCTGTTTATGAGATGCACAGTTTGGTCTCTTTGTACATCTTCCACTTTGAACTAATTTTGCTTGAATTTGCGTGACCAGGACTTAACTGCAGTTTAGATGATGTCTCAGCTGTTCTCTGTGCCATGATACGAAAATTTCCCTATGTCTGTTGGATACATCTTCTGTGATATATATTACGATTGCACCTTTTTAAGGTCACTGTTCTCAGATAGACTAACTCAGGTCCTTTTTCCTCTGCTGTTATCTTGAATTAACAAGCTTCTCTCTTAGTATCTAAATGCAGTGTCTTACTCTTTGTTACTGTTAAAATTCACCTGTTTCTCTCAGCCTTCCTTCCAGGTCATCCAGCTCTTCCCTCTTCCCATATCATATTCTAATCCTCCTCTGCACTACCCATACAGTCACTCAAGTTTGTGTCTTCAGAAGATCTCATGACCAGGTGCCTAGTTTTTTCTGCCAAGTTCAGTAAGGAAATTATTTAATAAGATTGGTCCCAGGACTGATTATTAAGGACCATGATGGAGTTTATCTGAATTTACTCACAAATAACAGGCAGCAAATGTTGGCCCCAGCTGGTATTCCACGTGTCTTTCCAAATGGAGGTGTATGGAGCATCTGGTGGTCTGTGCAAGGGCTGGCCCTTAGCAAAATGCTAGTTCTTCTTTGTTACTTCTAGCTTCTAAATTCTACTAAATTAAGCAAAGCTTACACTAAATGTTTTCCTAATTTTATTTTCATGTGTAAGAAACTGTGCGAGTTTCTGGTGGGACTATATATGACTGGAAGGGGAACTCACCTGTGGGATATAGTCCAAGATTAGGACCTATGAAATTTCTTAACTGTTTATCAATACAGAGTATATGATTTATGTCATAGCAGCAGCAGACAGTTCAAAGAAGGGACGTGACCACAGATAGGCTGAGGCTTTGCATGGACTCCTGCTGAAGGCAGTCCTCATCTCAGAAAGATTACAAGGTAGATTACCAAAGGGAAGAAAATGGGACAATAGGTGAACAAAGGAGGAGGATACATCTGAGGGGGATATATCCATCCAGGCACATTTACATTGTCATAGTGAGAATTCGTGTCTCCTATGCAGCTGACACATTGCTATCATGCTACGCAGCTGCATGTTCTCCAAATGTGTCTGTCATGTCACAGTAATAAGCTTTATTTGCCACATTGGTTGTGGCATCTTTGTACATCTTGAGGACTCTGTTTGCAAACATCCAGGAATTCTTTCACTGGAGCAGATGCAGGCACCTGCTACTGAGAGGATAACAACAACTTCCCTGGAGTCAGTATAAGCTCTTATCTCAGAACTTGTAATGCCAGTTTTGAAAAACATCTGACAGAATGCAAAGAAAGCATGGAGCTGGGTTTATGACAGAGAAACAAGCAATGGAGTCCTCCATACCTTTTGTTTCTTTGGTTGTAAGGTTGTGGACTAGGACTGAGTTGTTACAGAACCTGTTACAGTGTTTATGTGGT